TCCCCTCCTCTCCCCTCCCCTCCCCTCCCCTCCTCTCCTCCGCTCCCCTCCCGGGAAGCATTGCCTTTGGCCATCTGGGCTGTCGTGGGTGCTCCTGGGAGTCAGCTCCACTTCCCTCAGCTGCTGCTTCTTCCTCCTCCATGCCTTTTTGTCTGGATCCGTGGTTTCCCCATGCCGGATCTGCGGGCCTTTTCCTGAGAGCCAGCCTTGCCCAGATTTCTGCTGGCCTTACAGAGTGGAGGAAAGTCAGTCTTCGGGAAACAAGTATGGAAATAGGACAGTCCTTCCCTCGAGGAGCTTAAAGTCCAGCAGCACTCCAAAGGAAGGTACCAGGCCTGGGAGCCAAGCGAGAAATGAGGTGCTCCCTGCTTAAGTGGAGTAGACGACTCCATCCTCCAATCAGAGGGACAGAGGGTGGTGAGAATAATAGTAATAATAATAATAGCCAACATGTACGTAGTGCTTTTTGTGTGCCACGCACCAGGCTAAGTTATGATGATCTCACTTCATCCTCTCGACAACCCTGGGAGGGAGGTGCTGTTATTATCCTCATTTTACACATGAGGAAACAGGCAAATAGACATGGTGATGAGGTGAAGTCCCAGGGATCTTGCAGGATGAGGTTTTCCCAATAATGAGCTTCCAGGGTACGAGGAGAAGTCAGAGAAATCCCAGAGTAGTGCAGCCGAGTGGCAAATGGGGAGGAAAGCGTTCTTGCTGTCCACTTCCCTGGGCCTGTCTTGGCCTTGGCAGCCCAGAAAGCGTGGAGAGGTGCCTGCCCCTGGGGCTGAGCAGCTAGTGAGTAAGTGGCTGAACCCAGGTGTGTCTGACCACGAGTTCAGGTGAGGGGCTCTGCCATTGCGGCTGCTTCCACATCTTCCAAATTCCCCTCCCTTGCCACAGATCTTCCACATACTAAATCGAGTCCAAACTCTGGCATGGAATTCAGCAAGTACTTATGAAGTGCCTCCTGTATCCTGGCCCCTGGGTTAGGCAATGGGGATGAGTGTCAAAAAGGAGCCTCCTCTGCTCCCGGAAGCTTCCTTCCCTTCTCTGCTGCTGAACGGCTCATGCTCAGACAAAGGAGACATTGAAAGACGGGATCCTTCATCCAAAGGAGGAAAAGCACTCACCAGTCTTCCACCTCTGCGTGACTCCAGCTCATAATGGCAGCATGAATGAAACCTTCTGTGATCTTGCCAGAATGGGCACTTGCTTTTCCCCCTGGCTCTGAAGCTCACTGCCAGGCCTCTTTCATCTGTTTAATGATGGGATTGGACTGGAGAGCTTCTGAGGGCCCTCCCATCCGGGATCTAAGACCCTGTGATCCTTTTCATGTACCTTCAGCACCTAGCCCAGCATCTGGTCAGGAGGAACATGTAGCTAAAGTTTGTCTGTTGTTTCTTGACAGGCCCTTTTCTGTCTTCATGTTCTCTCTTTCTCTCCCCCTTGTCCTGTTATCTGGAATGGACTCCCCTCCTACCACCACCTAGAAATCCTTCTATTCTGCCAAGGTCCACCTGAACCCTGGGCTCTGTGACTCTTCCTGATCCTCCTCAGATGGAAATCAATTCTTCCTGCCTCCTTTGTGTGGATTTCCAGAGTTATGTGTTATAATAATAGCCAGCATGTATGTGGTCCTTTAAGGTTTGCTTTGCCAAGCAAGCTTGTGGAGGGCAGTAATTGTGATGTGTTTCATTTTGAGATCCCCAACCTATCAATCATTCCTAAATTTATTAAGCACCTACTATGTGCCAGGCACTGTGCTAAGAGGTGGGGATACAAAAAGATAAAAGACACTGCCTGTGCCCAAGGAGCTTACAGTCTAATGGGGGAGAGATGACATGCAAATAAATATGTACAGAGTGGGCTATAGACAGGCTAAATAGGAAGTAATTACCCAAGGAAAGACACTGGAATTGAGAAGGGTCAGGAAGGCTTTCTGTCGAAGGTGGGATTTTAGTTGGGACTTAAAAGGAAGCCAGGAAGTGAGGAGGTAAGGGAAGGAGGGAGAGCAGTTTGGGCGTGGGAGAGAGCCAGAGACAATGGGCAGAGCCGAGAGATAAAGTGTTTTGTTTGTGGTACAGCCAGGCGGCCAGGCCAGGTGTCACTGGGTCAGAGAGTACATGTTAGGAGTAAGGTGTAAGACTGGAAAAGGTAGCTGGGGCTAGTTTATGAAGGACTTTGAAGGCCAAACAAGAGCATTTGGTATTTACTACTAGAGGCAATAGAGAGCCACTGGAGTTTGAGTATGGAGGTGACTTGATCAGACTTGTATATTAGGGAAATCTCTTTAGTGACTCAATGGAGGATAGATTAGTGTGGGGAGAGACTGCAAGCCGACCCACGAGCAGCTATTGCACTCATCAAGGCCTGAGGTGATGGAAATCTAGGCTATCAAGGCAGCAGCTCAGAGGAGAGAAGGGGGCGCATTCCAGAGGTGCTGCAAAGGTGAAATTGGCTGGCCTTGCCGACAGCTTGGATATGGAAAGTGAGAGATAGTGAGGAGTCCAGGATGACACCTAGGTTGTGAGCCTGGGGAACTGGGAGCATCATGTTGCCCCCTACAGTAATAGGGAATGTGGGATTAGGGAGAAAGATAATGAGTTCGGTTTTAGATAGATAGAGTTTAAGATGTCTACTGGACATCCAATTTGAGGTATCTGAAAGACAGTTGCAGATGCAAGATTGGAGGTCAGCAGAGAGATTGGCCTGAGTGTAGGAGATACTTCATAAGTCTTTTAAAAATTGAATTATTTAAAAAAAAAAAGGCACAGTGGATAGAAAAATTGAATTATTTTAGGGGGCAGCTGGGTGGTACAGTGGATGGAGCACTGGCCCTGAAGTCAGGAGTACCTGAGTTCAAATCTGGCCTCAGACCAAACACTTGACACTTACTAGCTGTGTGACCCTGGGCAAGTCATTTAACGCCAATTGCCTAAAAAAAAAATTGAATTATTTTGAGAACAGAGCATATCTCGTGGGGTCATGACCAAAGTCTGAGTTGTTGGGTTATTGTTTTAGAAATTTTAATTCAAGTGTTACCACATTAGGGAGATTTGTGTATTTTCTCTCAATTTTTAATATAGAAAATATAGAAATAATCTGGAGAAGTCAACAGTTAATTCCAAACCCTTTTGTTTGTTTCCACATGATTCTCCCAGAACACTCCTAATTAGCTCAGGAGTCATATGAAGAATTTAAAAATCATACAAAGACCCTGGGGTGCTTTGCTGCTGGTTAGCTGTGGCCCTTTGAACAGGTCACATAATTTCTTTGAGTGATTAGTGATTCTAAGGTCCTCTTTTGCTCAAAACTTGTGAGAGGCTGTGGTTTTGATTGAGTGGTAGAGAGCAGATTGTAGCCCCCCTTGAAGGCATGCTGTGCATGGAGGACAGAATTAATTGTGCAAAGTCCCTGGGAGCAGTTGAATTTTAAATGATTTTTATT